GTCTACATAGATGAGATGAGTTGTCTACTTCGGTATATACAACAATGATTGAAATATAAAATCTGAATAAGCAAACAATATTTTAAATAGTGCCATTCCGTTTTGAATTGTTAGCACAATTTAAGAAATACGGTACAATTTAAGTACAGTGCCGTAAAGTCATGCTTGAGCAAAAAAAGCGCCTATTCATTCAATATATCCGAGTTTCTTTTCACCAATCAAATCTTTACCGATCGTATTTTACTTTGTATAAGTTAGTTGAGAGATAGACATTTAGGAATACCTAGTCTTTACAAGCCAACAAAAACAATTTCAACTACACTCGGTATAAGCAAATATTTGAATTTCTAAAATACCAACACAAGATCGCGTTTCGGTTCTCCCCAGTTTGCTGCAATTTGAAAAACAAATCCCATTTCGTCAATGATAATCCGTGGCGAATGCCATATTGGCTGGTTTGGACTGGAGAGATGGAGGATAAGAGGTATCATTACGGTGATAGCGTGAGAGTCGATCCTCATCCTCATACAAGACTGTGGACTGTAGTAGACGGTGGTCAGCAAACAAGGAGGTGAGGATAATCCGAGAGAGCATCACTGACTCTCTCTTCCTCTCTCCCCTTGGACCTGGGAGATGGAGAGCTTTCTGAGAATTAAAGAATTGGAAGAAATATCCTCACGTGTTTGAGTGTGAAGAAGCGAGAGCGAGAATTATGATTAAAAAAAAAAACTTTATAAGTAATTAAAAAAAGGGATGAAGGGAATAGGGAGAAGGAAACATACCGATGGTCATAGTGCTTTCGGTACCAGGTGAGGGAAGAAGTTCTAGTGAATATCTAGAACAGTGCCTGATTAGGATCAAAGGAAATAAACCGCTAAAAAGAGTATTTTTCAGAAAAACGGGCTTATGAATAAATCTCCTCAGGGATAGCCAAATTATTGTCTCTTTACATAGTCTTGTAGTACTCCGCAACGAGACGTAAATAATATGTTTCCCGTAATGCGTTGAACACTACCCTGAAGTGAACTCGTTTCTTTGGGAGCCTTCGTTGCTGTTTGCGTCGGAAACAACGGGTACAAATTAGTATTCTCGATAGGGCAGCAAATGCATACACAGTGATGAAGTGTAAACTAGACCCAGTGGATCCCACTAAAAACTTCCTCTTTTCTCACCTACTACATGGGAAGTGTTTATTCCATTACGCCAGACTGGGCCTGTTTTGATGTTACGCATTCAGAGCTCACGCCTTTCTGGCATCTTGGTTATCTGATTTCTTTACAACCTCTGCGAAATGCAGGTTATTTTTGTCATGGATATCATCACCAACCTGTACACGTGTTTTATTAACTTTCAGCTACACTGTTGGGTGTATAATCATTTTTTTCTAAATGGAACTGCATTTTAAGGATACGTTCTTACAAATGCTATAAAATCAAGGATGGAGATGATTTGAACACCCCCAACAGTTTGATACAATTCAATTTGATACATTTTTTTAAATAAATGTAGGCTAATTGGTGTTAAGTAATTTTTGTTATTTCTCCCCTACAACTCTCTTTCTCCCTAGCACTTGTCCCATGTTCTGCACTGCGGCTGCGGTTTTTATAGCACCGCAAAAAAGTCGCGGCTGCGAAATTCGAATGCGGTTTGGAACAAGCTCACATTTGAGCCATGTACCTACAGCCGGATAAAAGCTGCGTTTCCTACTAAAAAAAAAAACGCCTACTTCTTTAGTAGGTCCGCCGCACTGTACTTGCGGGCCGCAACCACTGTATAGAGCGAGCCGCATTACAGTGCGTAAAAGAAAACATACTACTAAACCAATAATAGTAGTAATAGTAGTATGTTTCCTGTGATAAAAGCACCAATTGGAGTCAATGTACATATAAAATCGCAGCGGCTACCGCAGGTGCATAAGAGGGGCCCTAAAGACATATCTGTTAAACATTTCCTTTCTTAAACAAGTTAAAATTCTCGTAAATCGTATTTCTATTCTTGCCATTTAAATCAAAATCCCCAATCCTCTACCGATTGGTTGGCTACTTTCCCCAACTTCACAGCTAATTTGGAGGGAATAGAAAATCCACCGCTCCTGTTACTTCAAACAAGGAAGTGCCAGAAGTGCCTACTCGTTTAGAGTGATTCCTAAAGACCGTAGTTGCTTCGGTAATTGGGCGGATCATGGAAACGGTTTGTCCAGTGAACCAGGAAAACCTCTCAGCAGCTAGTCCAAACTTTCTACTTTGGTAAGACGAAATCCTTCAACAGAGCAATTAAGGCCAGTCTTCTTTAACCCAAATAAGTTCTTGCACGTTTCGTGTGTATCGCATTTTGACGTATACATAATGCAACAGCTTTTGTAGCTTGTCCATGGACAATTCACGTTGTATGGGAGAAGGATAAACTGGATAAATACATCTACAATAGGTCATTTTGGCGCGTGGTCTTGTTAATGTTCTTTTATCAGGCCTTTTGATTGAGTGTAGGGGTCCCGGCCACCGGTCGTAAATTCAGGGGCCATACTTATATAATCTAACCTTAACCTAACCCAACATAACCTAACTTCTATATGCCGAACAGGGCCACAGGTGGCCGATTCTCCGTTTTCCCTTTTCATCGGATACTCGCAAATAAGTTTGTTTTATTGAATTTTCCAAGGCCTCTCTCTTCTTGTTGATTTCGAAATTCGTCGACCCGGTTGTTGGAGAAGTGGATTTTATGATACCTAACATTATTTTCCTTAAATGACGGTGTTTTTGATCTACGATTGTTGTGAAATGACTCATTCAAAAAGATTAGACTAAAGTAAAAACATGTCAGATATAGCTGTTTAAACGTTCTCCATCAGCTTCCAACGTGATCTATTTTTTAATTGCGGAAGAGTTTAACGATTTTCTCAAATCGACCCACAGGTTTCATTATTCATAGCCATCTTTTGGATTAGGTTTAAGAGGAAAATAGATCACGACTCTTTTCATTTACCTTCTGTTCTGTACAGAGTCCAAGAAACATGTAGCTAACAGGCAGTTATCATCCGATTACTCTGGCGGTTAGGAAAAAGAGTTCCTTAAGGTTCATTTACAGAACTCATCCACGTATCCGTTTTCCCAAAAACCATAAAGAGAACTCGATTCCTCCAGAATTGTCAAAGAGACAAGCTGACAAGCTAGTTCTGAGCTCGTACACAGTTGTTATGCAACACTCCATAAAAGGTGGTGGTTGATTGTAGTAATGAGTGTTCTAATGGATTTACTCGTCTGGCAGACCGGTAGTGCCTGATCAGCTGGTGATAGGTGTTGTAATGTTATAGGGAACGGGACAAGCTTTCTACCTGACAGTGCTGAGTGCTCGACTTGCATAACAACTGGACCACGTGGCGCAGCGGCGGACCGAAACAGCTAATCGGGCAAAACTATGGAAACAACCGAGGAAATAACGGGGCTGCGAATCAATTTGGTTCAGCTATTGGGATAAACCGGTAAAGATATCCGGAACTCCGGGGTATTTTTAGAAACACAATCAACAACTTTGTGTTGTTAAGTTTGTTTTTCCCTACTCCCAATTTTTGGGTGATTATTGTTAATCACACTTTATTCACGTCACACAGAATGCAGCGTTGATGCAGACGATGTCATTTTAACGGGACTGTACTTAAAAAGTTTGATGATGAAAATTCTAAGATAGGCTGTCACAAATCTGTTTACGGATCATGATTTGATTGTATATTGGTGCTGTTACGAGAAAAGTAGGCCTACCGGTTATCTAAAACCCATATCTGCTTTGGTATATTTAAATATCTAGATATAGTCAAGTTTATGTTTAATACAATGGAACGTGAAATACTATGAAAGTATAATTTGGCGTCACAATAATTTATCCGTTCATTTAGTCAAGGGATGCGATACACATGAAATGTCAATGACAATATTCATAGCCTACCGGTACATCAAGTCCTTAAAACGTTCAGGATAACCCTTTGTACGCCCCCAAGACAAGACTACGCCCCCAAACCAAGGAATCTGTAATTCTGAGTAACACCGTGACAATAGACAGTATTTAGCTTAGAAATTTCCACAGCAATTAATTACTATATTGTTTGAAATAGCTTGCGATAGTTTTAATAGGCGGTGACTGCAAGTTTGTGGTATTTTAATACAATGAACCGGAACGTGAGCGGATATCCATGTTGATTTACGTGACCGGTCACGGTGTCGGTAAGTCGTCCGCTGCGATCGACCGTGCGTGACCGAGGTTGATCAAACTCTACCGACAACCGGCGACCGTCGACCGGACGACACCTACAGTAGGTCAGTGGATCGCCTCAGCGTAGCTCACGTATATACGTCTCCGCGGCTTCGTGCCGGCCGACCGTGGTGTAAATAATTCATGCGATCGAATAAAGGCGTCTCATCGCTCACAACTCACGCATTGCCCACTGAGTGTTTTATAATGTGGCATGAACGGTGTGTGGGTTGAATAATCTCCTGTGAATTATGGGAAGTTTGTGTATAGTGTGCCAGCCAATGCTGGTACGGATCTGGGGTGGGTAGCTGAGTGGATAGTGTTCCCTGTATTCGGTGGGTTGTGTGGGTTGTGGTTTGGATTCTAAAAAATGAGCTTGATCACTGGGCCTAGCTGTCACAGAGCCAAACTGTACAGAGAGGGTGACTTGGCGATGGGTCTGGGGGTCCAAAAAAGAGAAGAGCTTGGGGGTCTCCAAGAAAAATTTGTTAGGCGATTTTGATTATTCAAGATTGAAGGTGTAGGTGAAACACATTTTTTTACCTCAACAGAAACCAATCATACACGTGCAGTACTACTAATAGTAATGTTATAAGTGTTAGCAAAACGGGAGTGCTGATGGAGAACTGTGGGGTTGCGCGGGGAGCCCCGGGGGTTGCGTGCGTTTGAAGGGACTTGACCTGGTCTCCATCGGCACTCCCGTTTTGCTAACACTAAAGTACTGTATCGACTTCTGGCTTATGAGGAGGATTTTAGATTCATCTGATGGCGGCTTGGATAACATTCAACTGTAACAAACACTCAAACATTCCAACGGCTGAGTTGTACACTGGTCTGTGGTTGGTGACGTAACTGACACAATCAATCGGTTGGTTATAAAGTGGCTCTGTGACAGTCCAGTCTCAGTCGCCCACGGACACGGCTAGGCTATGAATCACTGTGTATAGAGTAGGCGTGGTCTTGACACGTGCCTCTTGGTCTATACAGTTGAAGAACACGAATATTTTTGTGCTTTTTCCAATTGGATAATTTGTTGAAGGGGCTGCTTAGTTGCCTTTGGAGTTTACCGAATGTTCAATGACACTGTAATACAGATTAATTTTGGATCACGTATAGGCAATCGGCACACAAGTATGCTATAAGTCACTCTTGTTATAGATTTAAGGGGTTTTAAAGCAATAAGAAATTCTATGATTGAGTTATATGGTGGTGTGGTCACCAGTGATACCAGCCTATAGGTTAAAGTTACAAGTTCACATATTGCTTGGTTCTTTACACACACGTTCTTCTGACGCAAAATGCTTTAAATATTTTTTTGAATCTAAGTGATAGTAATCACTGAAACGGTAAGGATTCCAACCCCTTCGTCAGTTTAAACCAGACCTACTTGACCTGTTCTGCTATCGCTAATCTGACAAGTCGAGGCAACTGTCTCGGTATGCACGAGTGACGATGCAATGTTGCACTTGTATGACGGGGTTAGGGATTAGTTGTGTAACTGCAGGGTTCAGTTACACTTCGTGGCTCTGTTGTGGTTACAGACAGTACAATTGCCCTTGCAGTCGATGCACGCACCAATTTATATTAAAACTGTGAGTAGTGGTGAACCCACAATATGACCTCACTTTCGGCGTTTTTGGACCTAGGACTTTTGAATTTTTTTGGCGAAAAAACACCCAAAATAGGTAAAATATGATGGTTTTACCCTATTTTTGGCGTTTTAGAGGCTATATGGGGGCATTTTTTGGTTAAAAAATGTTATTAATACTGAAAAAACAAGCCTGGAAATGAAGAGCTTTTTTTGACCACTTTTTTTAAAACCCAGCTCTCGGCACGTGAACTCGGACGCGCTCCCGACCCATAGGTTACTTCTGATCCCCAGCGATGACAAACTAAAAGTTTTATGAAAAAATGTTAGAAACAAAAATTGAGGAACATCTAATCATCTATACTTCTTCCACTGAAAGTTTTTCTCTGACCGAAAAATAAAAAAAATCCTCGCTTACTTACTTTTTCATGTTTGCTTTGAGTAACCTTTTTATATTTTCCTTAATTAATAATTATACAGTGGCATAAATTAAATTATATTTATATTGTATTAAACAGTAGTTTATGTAGAATTTTAATATATAAATTTTATGCTATAAATATTTTTTTTAGAAGCTAGACAAACATGTAAGTGATAGAAGGCGCATCACTTTGAACATCGTCATGCCCCCGACAGTGCCGTGCTGGTAATACCTAGAGTTTGAAACTATTGCTATTGTTGAAATTATATTATAGCACATTTACATACAAAAGAAACTGGTAAATGGTTTTAAATTGTTTAACTTTTTATGCTGTATTATTATGTTGAAGGCTATTTTGGTTGCTGGAATTTTAGCTGTTTTGTTGTATATCAAGCCTTTTTTTTAGATATAAGTATTTTTAAACAATAAATCAGACCTTTATTTACTAATGCTATTATTATATTACAATGCATTGGCATACAAATGAAAATGGTTTGATTTATTTGTACTCATATAAAATAATATAATTCTTTTGAGTTATAGGGATGTCTGGTGATTAAATCACAAATTTAGAATATTTAATAATGGACTTTTAAAATAATGGAATTAAGTATAGACTTATAACATTTTCATGATAACTGTTTGATTTATTTGTACTCATTTAAAATAATGTTAAAATAGTATTTGATTTTTATGTTGTATTATTGTTTTTTGTTGTTTAAAAGTTGGAACTAACATAGTGTACCTAAATTTAACCATTTGTCGTATCTCAAGCAGTTTTTGAGAAATAAGCATTTTAAAACGATAAAGTCACACCAGTAATGCATGGAGTTTGTAACCATTACCAACACTGATATTATGTTATAATACATTGTCATACAAATGGAACCATTTAATTTATTTACCAAATGGTATTCATATAAGTTTTAGATTTTTAAATTTTTACCCTGTATTATTGTTTTATATCAAAAGTTGAAATCAATGTAGTGTGCCTAAATATGTTTATTTACTGTATCTCAAGCAAATAGATAGAATAGGATAAAGAGGTGTTTTTGGTGTTTTACCTATGAGAATAACATGGGGAGATTTTAAGCCACTTTTTAAAAAATCGTGCTTATTTATACATTTCTATATAAATGTCCAACTCCAAAAATATTTTCAATCCATATTAATGTCTGTATCATGTGAGATTTGTACCAGTTGGTTTGAAATATTTATAAATATAATGTGTTGCTGGAATCACCTTAAATGGCAAGAAACACATAGTGTTGGGACCTCTGGTAAAATATTGGTTTTTTTCTAGTTTGGATTAAATATTTGTGAAAAATTGAAAAAATATGTTTTTTACTCAACTATTTTAGCGTCTTGAAACATGTATTACCGAGGAATCAGGCAAATATTTCGTGCCGAAATTATATTTTACCTTACGTGAGAACTTGGAATCATTATTTAAACTCAGTCCTGCTCCACAGTATCATTGCAGGCTTGCTTCTTGTCCCAAGTGGTGAATTGTGTACAGTTTATGTGTGGTGCAAAGACTGGGTTTTCTTTTTAGTTGTGACCAGCTCATTCCTAAGATGCTAGATGGTATCCACTTTGCCTCTGAACATAAGCAAATTGTAATCTTCAGTTTAGGACTTAAAATTAATGTCGGATGCGATGCCTCTTTAATCGGAAGTTTGGGTTGTGATGAGCTCAACCCCTATCACCAATATCAGCATAGATCCATTGAACTATTATGTGTTATTGTACTTTGTGCTGATTAATATGTGTTTGGTAAATTAGCATGGCACAACACACAATCCCACATCTTGCTAATCGTAGTTGGTAGTTTAACTTAGCAACGATAATAACAAATTATTATGTCATTGCATTATTATGTCATGTCGGGGGTCTATTTGGTGGTCAAAGTAGAAGTAGGGAGCATTGACTTTCTACAATCATGATGAGATATCCAGCCAGAGCCTCAGACTGTAATAAAAAAATAGATGAAAATGCAAACTCTAAAGGCCCTGACGACCATGTTGTATACTTCCAGGCTGGAACAACCTTTACTTGGAATATTGTATATAAATTGTTTGTATACATAAGACTCTTTTAGTGAATGTACTCTTTGATGAAAATACAAAATAAAGATGAAAACTACTTTATGCAAAGAAGAGAAAGTAATTGTGAAGGGTAGCTACAAACAATTGCATTTTAGTGAGCAATGAAAGTTGCTATAATTATTGGGATTGTTTTGGGTAAGTTTATAGATATGCATTGTGTTTACAGGAATTAATCATAGTGGGGATGCCATTTACATCGAGACATATCGATTTAGTTAAAGTGATAAAACGAAGACCATGATAGTGGTGGATAAAGATTTTATTTGTTGAGCAATCGATATGAGAAGGAGTTTCTTGTTAAACAATAACCTGGAAAACCAATACAACATAATGCACTGTCATCCCTCATTGGTATTGTAACTTACAAGCTCTGTTGTTCTTTACTCATTTTCAAAAACATATAAATTATAAAATAAGCCATTTTGTTGTTTATTTTACTGTTATGTATTGTAAGTGTATATATTGAAATAAATGGTTAAATAAATGTAAGTTGAAAAATGAGCCTTATTTTGTCACTAGTTTATTTACATTGATTTGAATCACATTTTTGAACTAACAGATGATTAAATTATTAATTGCATAACATTTGAAACATAGAGATACAACATTTACATTATTAACTGGAAACTATAGATCTATATTATTGTATGAACATAATTTCTGTATTTCATATATGTAAAAGCAATGAGACCATGCTAAATTACAGGATTCAATAACAAAGGAAGCTGATATTGTGCTATATACCTGAGGGTGTAAATATAGAGGTGGGCATTTCCATAGAGACCTAATGACGAATTAGAATGTGAAAGTTCTATGGTAGAAATATCAAGTATGCAAGAGTGATCATCAGAGGTAACATGGTCATCAGGCAATTCATAGAGAGGGGTCAGTCAGGTTGAACTAGTATATTGCAGTGATTCATCCAATATAGATACAATAGTTACAAATAACCAGAACCAATTACTGGACATTGTAGTTACCAGTTTTCCTATCCTACTGTTAAAATATGAACCTCATTTTAATATGAGTTGGTGAGTTCATGCCCGGTAACATGAATGTAATAATGGTTCTAAATGTATTTATCTTATTTTATGGTAGATTTCACTATGTGTGCTTACTCTATGGTAAAATTCTTTGAGATCATTTAATATTTAACACACTTAGATTAGTGAATAAATCATCAAAGTGCGATATAAATATGCTGGGTGAAACGTATTAAAACTTGCTTCCAGTTTATCTATTAAAGGATTGTCAAACGTCTCGGTTTTGCTAACTATGACCTGGTGTCCCGAAAAGGGCTCTTAAGACCATAAGATGACAATACATAAAGTTTGGACTATTGACTGTGATGTGAATTTATGCATACTTTGTCATACAAATTTTACACTATAGTATTTTTACGAGTTCTGACTGTGACTGTGATGTGAATTTGTGTGTATTTCATCACATAAATTTCACTCTATTTTCACTCATTTCACACCACTATTATGATGTGCTGTGCCTGTATGAGTGTGTTGAGCCATGAATATCATAGACTACCAAGCTATAAGGACGTATGCTAGAACTGATCTAACCTCTGCCAAACCCTGAATACGAGCCTGGAGGCACAGACTTTGGACCAAGGATCAATAATTGTAAATAGACAAACCTGTGTGATAGGATATAGAACACTGAAAAATAAAAATGTTAGAAACTTTAGTCTTTTACTTATTTACCCTTATCACCCTCTGTTTTG